AACACTTCTTTACTACATGCCTTTTATAGTTATTTTTTTGGCATCGTTAATACATGGTTAGTATTGAAAATCAGGAAATTCAGAAAGATACTTTAAATGTTGAATATGGCGATTATACGAGGAAATGAGAGGGCTTCGGTTTTTTTCTATGCGTTTTCTGTAACTGCATTTGTGAACAAGGTTTGTTGTCTTAATACATATTAAATGTAATTATAAATGAGAGTTATTAACTTTTATAGTATACAAAGGCTTTACGGGAAACTACGAGGTGTGAGTAATAACCGTACTGTTGGTTCTGTCGCCATTATAGGTATTCTGTTTAATTACAAATGTAATGAAGTCTCGTGATCAGGCACATCATGCAGCTAAATGTTTTGGAGGACACAGTCAGGAAACAAAGTACTTTTTCTGTCAGTGGTGGATTAGGGATAATAATCACACAGCTATTAATAAGTAGGGTGTCTTTTACTTTTCATATTATTAAACGTCCACTGTTACTTTGATTAACTTTTTGGTTTCCAGCACAGACAAATATTTTTAACATATTTAATCAAGTGCTTGTTCATGTATTTGGGAATACAAAAATAGTGAATGGAAAGAATTGGCCCACCCTTGGCCTGTAGCCACGACGCCACTGTTAGTGATCGTCATATTGCTTTACCGAATGAATTAATCTATTCAAGACAAAAAGTGTAACCAGTGAAAATATTATCTACGTGTTAGAAGCTGTGCATAACGACGTTCAATTAATTATATTTAAATATTTCAATTATCTTTAGAATATTTGATTATTTGTTTCTCAAAACACTTGACAACTGACAAATCATTCATATTAGTATTCCTACGATACTATTTACTTGGAAACAGTTATGTAGCAATTAGAGAAGTTTTTTTTTTACCTTCACTGTATACAAAGCATTAAGTTTAAGAAAAGTAATTGTCGTTGTTTTGATAATTTCCATCGCTATATTTCCGTTTTTATACTTGAGCACTAGTATTGTTTACAAAACAAATCAAATGTCAAATTGAATTTTACAAAAAATTGGACTTGTACTTGTAACCTTTAGATAAAACTTTAAACGATGAGAATGTTTACCTAAGAAATAAAATACGTAACATAGAACAAACAGTTTAAATGAAAAAAAAAGTGGAAATATCCCCAACAGAATCCATGGTAAAAACCAAAACAGATAAAATGGGATGTAGTTAAATTAAAACAAACACTAAATTCAACGTCTCAGTGACTTGAAACCACCATAATCAGGAGAAACAACTAAGCGGGTAAGTTATATTGATTTTGTAGTTGAATCTTCCTGTTAAACAACATCCTATGGTTTTCTTCTTCTTACGTCACTCGAACATCACATGACTTTTACTTGATCGACTGAATAGAACATCTTTTAACCTTTTCATTACTGAGTCAACTTTTAGAATAATTTTTGTTGTACCCACTGTCAATTTTACTCGATCGCCCCCCCTACCTCCCCCCAAAAAAAGTCAGCTGAAAGACTATTTTTATGAAGGCAATTACAATTTGGATCTTCAAATAGTTTTCATTTCATATCGAGAGACGATTCTACTCATCAGTTGAAACCGGGTTTCGATACCCGTGGTGGGCAGAGCACAGATAGCCCTTGTGTAGCTTTGTGCATAATTAAAAACAAAACAAATTTAGAGTGGAAATTCATTTCAATCCTGAACAAGCATCTCCTGTGCTGTATTATAATTAACTATCTATATTTTGTTTGAATGTCTGGAAATTATGTAGAATTATTTATATTTAGAAATAACTGGGCTTTGTTTTACAAAATATTCCTCAAAATAAACCCGGCTTTTAAATGGCAAATTTTCACCTGAACAGTGATATAATAATTTATTGTAGTAATGAACATAAAATTCGCAGTTAATTTTAAAAAGTTATCTAGGAATCAAAACAGACGTTACTTGTGTTGAAAATATCATATGAGATAAGACTATAAAACAGTGTATGTAATAAAGAGCTTATGGTAATTATCCCTAAAAAAAATTAATATTGCAAAACAAATAATAAATGGCAACTCAGTTACAATTGAGTCAAGATAACTAGTCAATGTGAAGTTGTAGATCTTAAGTTAGAACAGAAAGGTTTTTTCGAAATGAATAAAAAGCGCTATAATACCCGAACACACAGATGCAAGGTCTGTTAACTAGAACTTTTAATGTAACATTACACCATAAAAAATAGATGGCAGCACGGTGGCGAACTGGCTAGCGTAAAATGTATTTTGAACTTCATTGCGATATTTTTAAAATATTTTTATGAAGTAAAATCAACAACACATTGTCAAAATAAGATTGAGTTAACGCAATCAAAACAAGCAACCAGCTAAGTAGATGTGTAAGTTGGCTGATTTTTTGGTGAAAGCCCGACAGATCCGGTGAAAGTCTACAAGTAAAAGTTAACTCTCAGTCCATAATGAACTCAAGTGTGTTATAATTAATAAATAATTTTTAATGAACTTGACAGAAAAATGTTCAATGTAAAATTAAAATAAATAACTTTAGATCAGTTAATAAAAGTAATACAGTAAGCCAGCTAATCAAGGAGCTTGGTTATCTAATGGTGCAGAGTAAAATGAGTTATATTTAGTGTGTGTACATCAGCTGTTTTATGAATTTTGAAACTATTAAACCACACATATGACACAATTGTACAATGTTAGGGAGAACTGTATAATTATCTAAGATGATTCTGACGAAAATCAATAAATAGTTCTATAATGGTCAATAGATGACGCCACCACCTACGAACACGCAAACCTATTTGTTGATATGGAATTTTCAGGCAAAACTATACATTAGCTACATGCGCATAACCGTTCTTAATTTCGAGCTGCCAGACTAGAGGAAAGTCAGTTAAATAACAGTTACCACTGCCAACTTTGTGCTACTCATTTGTAATAGGGCGCTCGACTCGCAAACTGAGGGTCGCGGGTTCGAATCCCCGTCACACCAAACATGCTCGCCCTTTAAGCAGTGGGAGCGTTATAATGTGACGGTCAATCCCACTATTCGTTTATAAAAGAGAAGCCCAAGAGTTGGCGGTGGGTGGTGATGACTAGCTGCCTTCCCTCTAGTCTTACACTGCTAAATTAGGGACAGCTAGCGCAAATAGCCCTCGTGCAGCTTTGCGCGAAATTCAGAACAAACAAACTTTTTTAATATTTGATATTTTAATTTTATGGAAATTTGTGGGAAAATATTTTTTAAATATTACGTTTCATTCGATGTATGTTCTATCGAACTATTTAGGAAAGGTCAAACTTTTATCTATAAGAACAACAACAGTTCTAGATTTATTCGAAATGTGCTATCTATGCTCATTTTTATACTTGAAAGTAACACAAAATTTTGTAAGTTGCACGTAAATGTCTCATGCTGAAATCACGCATAAAATTTGGTTACAATTTCTGCAAAGCACAATAAAAATTAGATTATCGAACAGCATCTCAGAGTTAATCATTATATGTAACCTTTCACAACTTCCTGTGAAACACTCCTATCGCCAGCTTTTGAACTACTTTTGTCTGACCGAATATTGTGATTTGATTGTCAATCTTATAGTGCACCCATGTCCTGAAAGTGTGGAGCGCGTTCCCGTGTGTACGAAACACAAACCACGAATCTTCAGGTTCACAGCCCAGACTCACTAGCCACTAGAACGCACCTAACGTAATATTCTAGGATTTCTCATCATTGCTTCAAAATTGGCAGAAAATACGACTTCTGTTTGATAAAAACAAACGTATTGTTTTGTGTAATTCTTAATCAGAAATTCTAATAAAGGGTTGATACATTGCATTGAATCATAACAAAAAAAGCAAAACTTCAGACTCTTTTTTTTTTTGTCTCTTGAATGATATTTCTTTTCTCCTGGAAAATAATATTTTACATTTTTGTCAGTTTCTTTATATGTAATGATCAAAAGTAAACACATTTCAGTTCTCTCACTTTGTCAATGTTGCTAAATACCGTCTACATGATGTGATGTATATATACTTGGTTCTACGTTCTCAAAACGAAATGCACAAAGTGGCTAAACGTATTCAAATTTCAAATAATGTCTGTTTCCTGGTTCCCGTCTATATTTAATTTCGCCTTCCGTTTATGATTGTAATATCAAGTACCAATGATACTAACAACAACTGTTCTACTATAAGTTCAGCTATAGAGTGATTGTGATTTTTTTCCGCAAAACTACACAATCTGCACTCTGTTTATTGTAGGAATCGAACCCCAGATTTGCGATTTGTAAGCCACATACAAACTTACCGCTGACCCTCCGGAGGAGAGCTCATAACTTTACAAATACAATATCAAGGGAAAATTAACAGTTTTGTCTTTAGAATAACACCGATGATTGCTAAGACATAAACAATCGATTCGGGAAAATTTCAAAATCTGAAATATTAAAAAAAGTAGTGCTTGATAAAGAAAAATAAAATTCCGAAAAGTTTTTTTTTTTATTATTCTTAGAACGTTTGCGCTTGACTCTGAGGGAACCCTCTATCTCTTGCTAGACATAAGCAGAATTCAGTCTGGATATATCAACAGTAACAGTTTTAAATCGATTATTTCTGAGATTTTTTTCTTGCTGTAATTTTAAGATCAGATATTATTTTGTTGAAAGTAACAAAGAATGGAACGGTGTTATGAGCCGGGGAAACCCCTTGTTCATCTCAGTTCCGCTAACCAGTTCCACTAAAGAAACTTGTAGTTAATGTTAGACTGCTCAGTCAATACTTAAAAAAAACGTGACTCTAGAGGCCAGGATTTATATAAAGTATTTTAGAAAAGTTGGGGAAGACCCAAAGTTCACAAGCCTTAAGGCTATGCTCTTTTCGTCTTTGTTTTGTTTTAATCCAACAGGGAAATAACCATTCACGTGACTTCAGCAACTTAATTTACATGTGTATCATCACTCTTATAAATATGTGTTAAGTGTTCATTTGAGAAAATAACGTAGAAATTCCTCTCTACTGTACGAGATCCGGGAAGCATTCATCTAGAAAGTAAGCTACTTGAATAGATTTTTTTCTACAAGTTGGAATTAATTCCAGTCTCTGTTGTTTCATAAGATTTAGAGAAATGTCTGTTTAAATTTTGTCTCTTACTAACACTCAACAGATAAATTAAAGTTTTGCTGAGCCCTTAATGGATTATTCTACATACGATTAAATCATCCAGCATATTTTCATGTTCAATCAAAACAATAGCTATAACGTAACAATATGTTATCAGAAGAGCTTCAATTGTTTAAGATGAAAATTTTATGTTATATTATTCATGTTTTACTTCTATAACTAAAATTTAAGAATTATGACGAAAACTGAACTCCACTGTATTGAGCTTACTTTTATTTATAGTATTACATCAAGAGTCATCACCTATTTGAATTTCTTGTTTTCACATTTTTGTTTGTTAGTTATTTGTTAAAAAGAAGCAACGTCTATGAACATTTCAGATAAACTATACCTAAACTTCACGAACAAGCAATGGGTAGGACAGCGAATTTTTTCATAACTATTGTTGGCTTTATGTTTCTTCTTAATAACGTTTCTTCGTGGGAAAGCAGTTATGGAAGTAAAGGTGGAGGACGTGGAGGAGGCGGATTTGGCGCGGCAGTAAGTTCTGGAGGTACTGCAGGAGGAAGTTGGGGAGGAGGTTTTGGTGGAAGTTTTGGAGGCCCTGGGGGCGGAACTAGTGGATTTAAAACGTTTCGTTTAAATGGGAGAAGAGGAGCGGGAAGAAGTTTCAGTAGTAGTGGGCACGGAGGTAGTTCAGGAAAACATGGTGGAGGACCTGGTGGATTTGCTACTGCGTTTTCGTTTGGAGGAGGAGACTGGGGTGGTGGTAGCTCTGGGGGAAGTGGCGTAAGTGGAAGAAGACTTGGTGGCTTTGGAGCAGGAGGTAGCCTGGGAGGATTAGACTGGTTAATACCTTTTGGAAGTCTTGGAGGTGGAGGTTGGAGTAGTGGAGGATTTGGAGGTGGAGGAGGAGGCGGATTTCATTCATTTGGGGGAAGTTCTGGTTCTGGTGGAGATAACGGTTGGGTTGAAAGTTTCGACGACGGAACTGGAGGATTTGTTACAGCATTTACGTTTGGAGGAGCTGGGGGCGGTTCCAGAGGAGGGCACCAAAAATCTTGTAGCACTTGTGGGTAAGTAGGCAACAATATACGTTTTGTATATAAAGTTCTGAGATACCTTATCAACATTTACACAGTATGTATAAAAATTATTGAAGAAATATTTTGTTCATTCATGTACTACGCCTCTACATCTATTTTGTTTTAACTGAAGTTAATGTAACTGCAACAAAACACCTGGCACAGACTTTCGAAACTAGTTGAATGGTAATAAAAAATGATAGCACTAATGTGATTTTATTCCTGGAGAATACTGACACATTGACATTTTATTTTTATCAATAGAGTTTAAACAACGCATAAAATTATGGAGCTTAGAGTATGTCGATATAACTTTCATTGGCTGTACAAATTCCAAAATAATGAATATCTGTGCATGATATATACCCAAGTGTGAAATGAGTATCCAGTAACACCATCTGTAACATTTATAGAAGGTAAATCAATATTATACTTACACCTTAAAAATAAGATATTATTCTCTTGTATTGTTTACTTAAAACCAAACACAGATTTGTTTACTTTGTTTGCTTTTTACAGTGGAAGCCATAGCTGGTAACAACGAAAGACTGGAACTCAGTACTCACGAAATTTGATGTTCAAACTTCTAATGAAAACTTCTCTATGGTTCATTTTCGATCTTTTGAATCCATTTTAGTCTTCTTTATACTTCTAAATGATGCTATTTTCACCTTGTACATATATTATCTATTTAACTCGATATTGAAAAAGGTTGTAATTGTTGATTTGTATGATACATGTTTTTTTCTGTTCTATTCTATTCAGTAAATCTTTATATAAATTACAACTGTGATTGGTTGATATTACTCATTTCACGTTTCTTTACTCAAGTATTATTTATGTTCTTTGTTTCTATACGAGGAATTACTCAGGCTTCATTCTTCATATAAAATATTACGTGTTCATAAAGAAAATAATTATTTTACACAGGAAGTAATAATAACCAATCACAATATGAAGGTTTTATGACTAGCTGCCTTCCCTTTATAGTCTATCAGTTCAAAATTAGGGATGGCTAGCGCAGATAGCCTTCTGTTAGCTTTGCGCGAGGTTCAAAACAAATTAACAAACTTTCTGGAGCTTTATTTTTCCCACCTAATGAGATCAATTAGTTTTGATAGTAAATTTGCCTTTATATAAAACTAATATATATATATATGTTCATCTTTTTAAATTCAGAAAATGGCGAATGTGTTTTTCTTTAGTCACTAGCTAACCACACATTCTATCATTTATCGCTGAAAAAGAAGGCCACAGTAGAAAGTTTTAACGTCGCGGCAATGTTAACTGAATAAACGAAACCCTGAATAAGCAGAAGGTGTGTGCGTGTGTCTTGAAAAATTCTTTCACTTTATTATAATTATTTCTTAGGATCTGTTAGCGTTCAAAGGAATTGTAAAGAATAAATGAGTTTATGGTCTGTAACTTATAATTGGAAGAAGTACGTTTTCTTATACTATATATATAATTTAAATAAGATTATATTTGTTATAAGCACTTCGTACACATTCTATTTTTTCGACGTTAATGTAAAAATTTGATGTTAGACGGATGCTTCTTAGATCGGACGAGTGAATGTTAAACAGTACCGAGATGTTGCCCTTCTCAGAAGTCATTTGTTTTTCTATATAAATCAATGGAAGTACACTTGCCATTCAAACTATAGATTAGAGGACAGCAAATATTTTAGTAATTAAATATTAATAATTTTATTTTGAAAAAGAAGGACGTGAACTAGTTTCAGTAATTCCGATCATCCTGGTAAAATTGTTTATGTAAATTGCACCATAAAAAATCTGTAAGACTATTGAGACGGTACCGGTAGAAATTACACGTGTCATATTTTCATTCGATGATGTCCCACTGTGGGTGAGTGGTAAGTTTTCGGACCAATCGACACCTTGCAGAATTCCTAGACAAACACAAGGTTTTCAGTGTGAAATATAAAAGTAGATCTCGTTTTTTTTTATACTTTCTTAACTTTTGCACGTTTTATTTGCAATGAAGCTACGAAATGAATTTAATCGATATCATTTATATTCCTGCTCTTTTCTGCAAAGTAGATATAAAACACAACGACCGCGGTTCCAAAACAAAATGTCAAAAATAATGCATATTAAAACAAATGTTAATTAAGTGGCAGCGAATAATTAATTTAACACGTCGCCATTTTTAACTACAGAAAAGAAGACATTTTAGATATCAGTTGACAACTAATGCGTCCTCGGAACCCTGTATATTACGTTCTCGAATCAAGTGTCAACAAGATTTAGATATCAGTTGACAACTAATGCGTCCTCGGAACCCTGTATATTACGTTCTCGAATCAAGTGTCAACAAGATTTAGATATGAGTTGACAACTAATGCGTCCTCGGAACCCTGTATATTACGTTCTCGAATCAAGTGTCAAC